CACACCCAAGTTTGTATGTTGGCTCCTGTGAACTTGTTTTCATGTAGTCAATTTGATTTCTGTGTATTCCATCTGGGAAGTCCATGTGTATAGTCACCTTTTGCATTGTTGAAAAAGGTATTTGCTATGAACAAGATTTTGGTCCTGTATTATCATGCAATCTTTGGCTTTGTTTCTATCACCACGGGCATATTTCCCAACTACTGTTCCTTCCTCTTTATTTCCAACTTTTGCATTCCAATCGCCAATAATTATCAATGCATGCTAAGTGTATGTTTGATCAGTTTCATACTGAGGAAGTTGTTAGAGTTCTTTAACTTCTTCATCACTAGCTTTGGTGGTTGGTGCATACATTTGAATAATATTTATATTGATTGGATTTCCTTGAAGGCAGACAGATAAAATACTATCTCCGACGGCATTGTACTTCAAGGTAGCTCTTCATGTTTCCTTTTTGGTGGTTCATGCAATGCTCTACCTCTTGATCAGTTCATTCCTAACATAGTAAACCAGTGATTTTGATTCCGAATGGCCAATAGCAGTCCATTTCGGGTCACTAATGCCTAGGATGTTGATTTTTATGCCTTCCACTTCAGATCTGACAACTTTCCGTTTTCCCAGATTCATACTTAATACATTTTAAGTTCCAATTATTAATTGATGTTTGCAGTTGCTTCTTCTCATTTTGGGTCATACCTTATCTTCAAACGAAGGTCCTGAAAGTTTTACTTCCACGAGCTTTGTTCCGTCCATGTCATTATGGCCGACTCAATCATATTTTGAGTGCCACCTTACCTGAGGGACTCATCGTCTGGTACTATCTCTGTTCCATTTCATGAGTTTTTCAGTATCTGACAGTGTTTCAGTTCCATCCATAAAGTTTTCAGTGTCTTAATTCCTCAGAAATAAACAGCCTGTTCCTTTTTCGTGGTCCAACTAAGAACAGAATCACGTGTGGACCTTGTCACAAAGCAGACTCTGACTCAGTATATTTACTGTGGAAATTGACTGAGGCTGAGTAGAGTGTTGAACCAGAATTTACCAGTATCTAAGCCCTAATAGTCTTGATGATTCTTTTTAAAATGTAGTATCGATTATTTTAACAAATATCAGATCTTTAAAGCCATGTTACTCTTAATCTGAGAGAGTCTTGGTGATACAATGGGTAGCTAGTCTATGAACTGCCAAGGTCTATGATTTGAACCTACCACCTGCTATGTGACAGAAAAGAGCTGGCGATATCACATGAAGATGGCAGCTTCATTCCTAATGGGCATGCATACTCGACCTTACAGGGTCACCAAGAATCAGAATGGACTTGACAGGACGTAAAGAACAATACTGACCCAAGTGCTCTTGGAAATAGATATTATGTAACAGTGCTCTTTACAACATTAATCCTTTATTCTTAATTTACATTCTTTATTATGAAGAATCTTAAGATATTGTTTGATTAGTACTGATTTATCTTTCGCAGGTATATTTCATTAAAGAGCATAACATTGTTGCACCATATAAAATAGAAAGGGTAAGTACAACTTTATTTCTCTCAGCATGCATATAGTAATTTTGAGCAAGAAGATTTTGTGTTCATATATTTAATCAAATTAATATTGAGATATATATAAAATATCTCAAGATATACATAAAATAAGTGCTAACTGTTATGTAGCAGTTATAACAAAATTATCCAATAGAGCCATGGACTTTAGTCCAAAATAATTCACTTTTTGACTTAAAAAATATGCCTACTAGAAAAAAAAAGTGTAGGTGATTCAGTTGTAAAAGTGTATTTGGAATATGCAACATGTATAAGATTATTTGCTGGGTACTACTGAGAATTTACTTGATGACAGGATACTGAAATGAGACATTCCATACTTTATTTCATTCTTGCTGCTTCAACTTAATGTAATTAAAGGATAAGTCTGACCAAAGGAAGTTTTTACAAGACCTAGGGACAGACTAATATCTCTCATAACACCTCTGTAAATTCCAGAGCCACCCTCTAAGGAAGCACCGTCTCATACGTTGTGTCTCCGTTCTGGTCTACAACTAGCCGCTGTAGCAGTGTCTTTATGCTGCCTTTTAGTAACTATATTAATGGCTAATTATCTTGTTCCTTCTCAGTGCCCTGGACTCTCCTTTAGCCAGGCTGGATATAGTGAGTCAGTTGAACTCTGTTCTCTGTGACCCTGTATTCCTTTCACACAGGAGCACAGACTAAGGAGACATGTTTGAAATGTTTGTAAAAATGGTTTGTAAGTAATGTTTTAGTAAAACGGTTTGGCCCTCTTCCTATCTTCTCTTGTTTGGACACTTTTTCATTTTTATTAGGGCAAAATGGAATATGTCTTTGAATTGGATGTTTCAGGGAAAGTGGAAGATGTCGTGGAGACCTTGCTTCAGGTAAGCCAATGCTTCCTCTGGCATTTACTGGGCCAGTTAGTTGCACAAACTTTCTTTGAAATTTCTCATTTATATATCTCACCCTAACCATGTTTGTTCATAAATATGAAGTAGGTTTTACTTGAATAAGTTGAACTGGGAAATATATGTTGATAATGAGCGATAGACGTTTTAGAAGTAATATCAATGGTTACTCAATGAAGAATGGTTGCTGCTAAAGAAACATCGTTAAGTCTTCGGAGAGAAAATAACCACTCCTGTGTTGATGCTATTTTAGCTCCACAGAGCGTCCTGCCTTGACAAACTGGGGGATCAAACTGCCATGGTAAGAGTCTCTAAGCACCTGTCATGACTACAAATTAGGTCAATGTCTTATTTAGAAATACTTATAGTCATGTTTTTAAAACGGTTCTGTTTTAATAGATAACTGCAATTCTGCAGTCACGTTTGGCTAGGACATCATTTGATAAAAACAGGTAAGTTTATTTTAGTAATTGTTTTGTAATCAGCTTCATTCATCATGTCCCAAACTCATGTCTTAGCTACCTTATCAAAACCCTGTTTCTTGGATATTAGCACACCCGCATTGCAGTAGAAATTTTAGGGATTTCCTCACCTCTTCCTGCTGACATCCTTTGATCAGAGAGGCCTGCTTGCACTGCTCCCTAAACTCTCTCTCATCCGGCTTCTTGGCTTGTTCACACTGACATCATCTCACCTACAATCCCATACAAAAAATATTCCCATTTATGTTAAAATCTGCCCTTTACCGAGTGGTCTGCTGTGCCACATGCCCATATGTATGTGCAGTCAGCATGTTGTCATCCAGTTCTGATGCATTCAGTACTTGCGTGTGTGAACACCAATCCTACAATATATATTTTTTAATTATATTTAATTTTAATTAATTATTTTATTTAATTTTTATTTTTTACAGTACTATTTTTTTAAAGCGTGCTAGAATTTTGCTTGGGATTACATTGCATTATAAATCATTGGGGGAAATTAACTTTTTCATTGAGTTAGGTCTTCATTTTCTTCTTTGCCTTCCTATGATTTCTTCGGAAAGTTCTTCTGAATTTTGTTTAATATTGTGTTGTATTTCTTTTATGTATATTATACTTTTATGATATTTTTAATGGTATCCTATTAAAATTTCACCTTTTGTCTATTGTTGATATATAGAAATGCAGTATAATAACTTCTTGTTTATGAATTTTCTTTTCAGCATCCTAGCCAAACTCTAGTCCCGTCCATTGACTTTATGTGCCCATCTATATATAGTGTATGTACATAATCTTATTGGTGGCTAATTGCCATTGCTATTCGATAGGAGTTTAATTTCAAATCACTGCACACGAATATTATTTAGGCTTTTGCTAAGTAGTTCTGGTGGCACAGTGGGCTGCATGTTGGTCTACTAGCTGCAGTGTCAACCCTTGGAAACCACCAGCTACCTTGAGTGGGGAAGATGAAGCTTTCCACTCCTGTAAAGAATTAGTCTTGGAAACCCACAGGCACTGCTCTGTATAGGGTTGCTGTGTGTTGGAAATGACTTGCTGGCTCTTAAGTTTGGTTTTGTTTTCATTTGAGAGGCCTTTATTAAGAGTTGATGTTTATTAATGAAATCATAATTTTCTATTTAACACAACTTTTGTGAGTGCCTATGTGGGAAGCAGAGTCACCCTGGCCCTTCTCATACATTATAAATGATTGAAGGACTTACCAGGACAGCCATTTGAGCAGTAAGGTGTTTTCTGTATTTATCGTGTTTATTTTTCACTAGATCGCCTTCGTTTTCCTTGCATTTTTATATTGGCATAAGTGGACGGCCTGGTGAAGAATAGCTTACCATTTTAGAAAGGAAATAAAATAATAACAGGAAGAATTGGCTTTTTTCTTTTGATTTATTTTAAATGCATTACTTTTCTAAGAAGTGATGTAGTTCTGAGTTTCAACATGACATGAAACATAAAAGGAATTTAAAGGTTCTTAATTTACTCAGTCTTTGAAAGGTAAAGCTCAAGAATTTTGGAGGGAAATTTTTACAGTATAGAATGGGTTAATTCAGTATCATGTACTTCCTCTAAAAGAAGGAAGTAAACTTTTGCTTCATAAGCCTTTGTGTTAGGCCAGTTGACTAGAGAAACAAGTCCAGAGATACTTTACTTATATACGTGCTTGTGTGAAAAAGAGCTTATATCAAAAAATAGTTATATATCGAGAAAACATTCCAGCCCAGACCAACTTAAGTCCATAGTCTGTAAGTTCCTCTTCAGACTCAGCAGTCACATGCAATGATGCAGAATGGAGGAATTTTATAGGCTTGTGGGTGCAAAGTCATGTGGATTGAAGGTCGGTGGAAACAGCATGGTCAGGGCAGCTCTCAGGGTGGCTAGCAAGCAGGAGAGTCAAGGCTCAGAGAGAGGGGGGAGAGGTTCCCTGGGCTCCACATATGAGAAGGCCCTGACCACAAGGAGGCACCATCAGGCTGTGACTTGATTGGCAGGTTGGATACCACCACTTTTGTATATCTTCAAGTTGACATAAAATTATGTAACTACCACAGCTTTTATCATATTTTTAAGAAATACTTTGTGTTGAAGGTATATAATGTGAAATAAATTTATTTTTGCCTGCTTTTTTCTGAAAATTTTAAATCTATACAAGTTGTAAAAGTAATATAATGACACATTATGTCAGTTAAGATATTAACATTTTCCTCAAATTTGCTTTAATTTTTGCCTGTTCATGGGTGCCTAGTCCATGTGTTTGTTTTTATGAGGGACCTTCAAAAAGCTTGTAGAGGTAGAACTAGAAGATAAAATTAAAAATGTAAATGTATTTCTCAGCATCAAGTTCAAGACCCTTTTGTAAACAAAGATACCAGCCATTTTGCCCATCTTTAAAGAACAAAGGATCTTGGAAATTCACCCATGTCAGTGCCAGCTTATTAATGGAGGAAAACGGGTGCTTTTTATAGATTTTTTTTAAAGATTATGAAATAAAGTCAGAGCTAAAATAGGACTGTAAGGTGGATACCTAATGATTTCCATAGAACCAACTCTTGCAAAATTGCTCTTGTGTGATGTGAAGAATAAGCAATAGAAAAACATTCTGGTGGAAATTTCTTATGCATTTTTCTCCTAAGGCTTTGGGCAACTTCTCAAAACACTCCTATTAAGCAGGTGCTATTGTTCTTCAGGCCTCCAGAAAGTCAACGAGCAAACTGTCTGGATATAACAAACAAACAAAAACCTGTGGCCATGACCTTTCCACCTTCGTGTTGACTGGACCACATCAGTCTCCTGGTAGCCATTACTTTTGAGTGTGCTTTGTCATCATATCATACTTTGTAAAGAAGCCATGTTCTATCTCTTATAAATCCTTCAAAGAAATGTTTCAGGATCTTGATGCCAGTGTTTAAAAGTTTCATTAAAAGATCTCTTACCTGTTTTGGTCTCCATCTAGCAGAAAGTTTGTTCAGCTTTTATTTTTAAACCAGAATTGTGTAAATGGAACCAATTGAAGTGTCTATGGTATTGGCTATTATTTCTGCTGCCATTTCAATTAGGGCATGAACAAGATTAATTTTTTAATTAAGTAAAAAATTAACGGGAATGGTTGGCCACTGTAGGCTTTGTCTACAGCATTGTCTCGTCCCTTCTTAAAAGATGAGTAATCCATTTGTAGACTGCTGATTTCTTTGGGCTATTGTCCCCATAAACTTTCATAAAGAATCAATTAGGTCTCCCTTCTTCCCAACTTCACCATAAATTATAATTTTAGCAGAATTCATGTTGCTCTGATAAGGGCTCTTTTCAAACTGGATATCTTATCCTTTATGATGCCCAAAACTAGTCTTGTTCAGACTTGTTACAACAAATTAGGACAAGTTTATTTCAGTACAAAAGCATCTTAGACTCCATGTAATTAAAAAAATAGTTTGCATTTTTCCTAAGATTTTTGAAGAGCCCTTGAATATATAAGGTTTTGCAGATTCTTCTTAAAATAAACTGCAAGATAGCCTGGTACTTCACCCTAGAGTGTTTTGGTATGCATTTCTTAAAAGCACATTTTGCTGCATTCCTTAATACCATTATTATACCCTCTTCACAGTAATTCTGTAATATTACCTGATATAGCTCCATTTTCCTTCAAAATACCTTTTTAAAAGTAATATTTTGTTCTATCTTTCAGCTTCCTCCCACTGACTCTTACATTTGGAGCCTTCTGGTTACATATCTATTAGGTCATTTTCCAAGCTTGCTGGTGACCTGGGTTTTCTTTTTTGATGTTTTTCTTCTGATTGTTGTAGAGTACTTGACTTTCTATGTGAACAGTTGGCCATCTTGAGCCAATTTCCTTAGTGATATTTCTTTTTAGTTTGCTTGTGTGAAACCAACTTGTGCAATTGTTTGCACACCACATTGTCACCAAAGAATACAACTCTGTGTCAGTTTTTCTATTCTTCCTTTTTTTTTTAAATCGTTTTATTAGGGGCTCATATGACTCTTATCACAATCCATACACACATCAATTGTGTAAAGCACATTTGTACATTCATTGCCCTCA